TAATTCCAGGTTGTAAGGCAACAAAATAGGAAAAATGCCAAGGGGGGTGAATACTTTCGCAAGCCACTGTAGCTAGCGATCGACATGTTGGAGACCCCTGGTGTAAAGTATGCATAGATAGGTATAATCTAGAGCCAAGCATTTTGTTTTTAAATCGCGTGGGTATCCTTCTCTACACACTTATTAAATTATGCAAAAGAATGTGACAACAACAGTATGTATTCATTAATGAGGCAGTCTAGACAGCGCAAGTTAGCGCTGCGTTAGGCCTAAACAGAGGTCTTTGGTGGTTGCAGCCCTGCTCCACCCCTTTATATAATGTCTGCAAATACACCCAGTACACTACGCCGTCATGGATTAAAATCCTGCAGCGCACGCAAGGTCCCCCTGCTCAAGCCAGTGCATGTCCAGGCCCGTCTGAAGTTTGCCAATTACCATCTGGATGATCCAGAGGAGGAATGGGAGAAGGTCATGTGGTCTGATGAGACAAAAATAGAGCTTTTTGGTCTAAACTCCACTCGCCGTGTTTGGAGGAAGAAGAATGATGAGTACAACCCCAAGAACACCATCCCAACCATGAAGCATGGAGATGGAAACATCATTCTTTGGGGATGCTTTTCTGCAAAGGGGACAGGACGACTGCACCGTATTGAGGGGAGGATGGATAGGGCCATGTATCGCGAGATCTTGGCCAACAACCTCCTTCCCTCAGTAAGAGAATTGAAGATGGGTCGTGGCTGGATCTTCCAGCATGACAACGACCCGAAACACACAGCCAGGGCAACTAAGGAGTGGCTCCGTAAGAAGCATCTCAAGGTCCTGGAGTGGCCTAGCCAGTCTCCAGACCTGAACCCAATAGGAAATCTTTGGAGGGAGCTGAAAGTCCGTATTGCCCAGCGACAGCCCCGCAACCTGAAGGATCTGGAGAAGGTCTGTATGGAGGAGTGGGACAAAATCCCTGCTGCAGTGTGTGCAAACCTGGTCAAGACCTACATGAAAAGTATGATCTCTGTAATTGCAAACAAAGGTTTCTGTACCAAATATTAAGTTCTGCTTTTCTGATGTATCAAATACTTATGTCATGCAATAAAATGCAAATTAATTACTTAAAAAATCATACAATGTGATTTTCTGGATTTTTGTTTTAGATTCTGTCTCTCACAGTTGAAGTGTACCTATGATAAAAAATTACAGACCTCTACATGCTTTGTAAGTAGGAAAACCTGCAAAATCGGCAGTGTATCAAATACTTGTTCTCCCCACTGTATATGATCATGGCTCGGGGAAAGGGCTGTTCGATACAGGTCTGCACAACTCCGTAATAAGGTGGATGGAAGTCCCAGATGCATGTGTAATGGCCATCTGATTAAAGCGGTTGTCGAATGCAGATAAGACAGTTTAGTACAGTCAGCCAGAACTGCTATTGGGCACAATCTTCCCTGTCCTTGTGTGAAGAGAAAAAGCCAATCACTTGTTTGAAAGACTGTGACAAACTTTTTATTTTGTGGAGTGGCAGCTTTTCTGATGGTATGTGGTTGAAAATATAACAACAATATGACAACATTGAGTCAATAACTATCCTTGAATCAACCAATCAATACTGTACTGTAAATAAAAAACATTAGAAGTTCAATGGTATGTTTACTTTATAATGCTATGAATACAACTACTGGAGTAAACAATGTTGTCATGGGATTGATTTAACCATTTTGCATGTGGCAAAATGTGCATTGAAGGACAGTTCGTAACACTTTATTTGGATAGTCAATCCGGGGTGCTGATAAATCGAAATAAAAAATAAAATAAAAAAACAAACGTTTTGTGTCCTAGCCAACAGCATTGCCTCTCATTAAAACCCCCTAGAGTCTAAACCTTTGGAGAGCTAAGCTAACATATGGAATTGTTTTAAGATGGTCATACCGTGGATCATTTAGCTATTTGATTTTGAATTATAGGATACCTGTAGGTATAGATAAATAGATAGACAATAGATAATTTTATACAAAATTGAATTTGGCCTTACTGCTATTATTGAATAATACATTCATACATGGCAAAACAAATAGTCAAAAAACACCTCAAAGGAAGTATGTTTTGAAGTGTCTTTCCTATATCTGAACAATTTGTTGTTGTTGTTTTTTCACTGTGGAATGACCCGTATACCTTTAACATCGAATTGCCCTATTCACTTCCATATTTTGGCCTGGTACTGGATTACCTTCAGACGAGTCTTGTAAAGCTTGTGGGCGTCGTAGAGCAAAACAACAAACATGTACGTATTTGTGAGAGGCTCAGCTTTTGTTGGTGGGGTCATATTATGTAGCTCAAACCGTTCGGACTCTGCAGAAGTTTTTGTGAGAAGACTGATTTTCAGGATTTCTCTTGGTCTGACAAACACAGCGGTAGCTCTGCCACCTTCCATCGCAGATGCGGAAGGCCGACATCGGCGGATGCGGTGAATTGAGACGCAGCCCATGCGAAACACAAATGTCTAGCTTAAACATTTTTGTATTATGCTAATTAGACTTCCATGCAGGCGCAGACATAGACTCTTACATGCTTGATAATGTATTTTGCCACAGGTCCTTGGTGTTTCTGAGAAATATATCTCAAATATAATAAAATATTTCTGTAACAAGTAATTATTTAAAAAGTGCCTCTTAGGGAGACATTCATGGCTCAAAAACAATTTTCTGAATTGCTTCTAAGAGACCCCAGAGCTTCATTGGAAATGTGAAAACCTTAATTTCTGACCAGTTTGATCTTTTTAGCCGTTTCCACTCTGATGCAGCTAGAGGAATGTTCCCTGAAGAGGAGAAACTAAATAATGTCTGAACTGCAGAAGGTATGAATTATAATACAGATTTCCGAAACTCTATGAACAGTAGAATTCCAGGAAAGCGTAAGTGAGAGAAAGGTAAAGTGAGCGAGAGGGAGAGAGGGGGGAAAGGGGGTAGACAGACTGAGAGACAGACAAATGGTAAGTGGAGAAATATGATAATTTTACAGAGACAAATATTTGATTAAATACACTAGGGGAAAAAAAGTATTTAGTCAGCCACCAATTGTGCAAGTTCTCCCACTTAAAAAGATGCGAGAGGCCTGTAACTTTCATCATAGGTACACGTCAACTATGACAGACAAAATGAGAGAAAAAAAATCCAGAAAATCACATTGTAGGATTTTTTATGAATTTATTTGCAAATTATGGTGGAAAATAAGTATTTGGTCAATAACAAAAGTTTCTCAATACTTTGTTATATACCCTTTGTTGGCAATGACACAAGTCAAACGTTTTCTGTAAGTCTTCACAAGGTTTTCACACACTGTTGCTGGTATTTTGGCCCATTCCTCCATGCAGATCTCCTCTACAGCAGTGATGTTTTGGGGCTGTCGCTGGGCAACACGGACTTTCAACTCCCTCCAAAGATTTTCTATGGGGTTGAGATCTGGAGACTGGCTAGGCCACTCCAGGACCTTGAAATGCTTCTTACGAAGCCACTCCTTTGTTGCCCGGGCGGTGTGTTTGGGATCATTGTCATGCTGAAAGACCCAGCCACGTTTCATCTTCAATGCCCTTGCTGATGGAAGGAGGTATTCACTCAAAATCTCACGATACATGGCCCCATTCATTCTTTCCTTTACACGGATAAGTCGTCCTGGTCCTTTTGCAGAAAAACAGCCCCAAAGCATGATGTTTCCACCCCCATGCTTCACAGTAGGTATGGTGTTCTTTGGATGCAACTCAGCATTCTTTGTCCTCCAAACACGACGAGTTGAGTTTTTACCAAAAAGTTCTATTTTGGTTTCATCTGACCATATGACATTCTCCCAATCCTCTTCTGGATCATCCAAATGCACTCTAGCAAACTTCAGACGGGCCTGGACATGTACTGGCTTAAGCAGGGGGACACGTCTGGCACTGCAGGATTTGAGTCCCTGGCGGCGTAGTGTGTTACTGATGGTAGGCTTTGTTACTTTGGTCCCAGCTCTCTGCAGGTCATTCACTAGGTCCCCCCGTGTGGTTCTGGGATTTTTGCTCACCGTTCTTGTGATCATTTTGACCCCACGGGGTGAGATCTTGCATGGAGTCCCAGATCGAGGGAGATTGTCAGTGTCCTTGTATGTCTTCCATTTCCTAATAATTGCTCCCACAGTTGATTTCTTCAAACCAAGCTGCTTACCTATTGCAGATTCAGTCTTCCCAGCCTGGTGCAGGTCTACAATTTTGTTTCTGGTGTCCTTTGACAGCTCTTTGGTCTTGGCCATAGTGGAGTTTGGAGTGTGACAGTTTGAGGTTGTGGACAGGTGTCTTTTATACTGATAACACGTTCAAACAGGTGCCATTAATACAGGTAACGAGTGGAGGACAGAGGAGCCTCTTAAAGAAGAAGTTACCAAATACTTATTTTCCACCATAATTTGCAAATAAATTCATTAAAAATCCTACAATGTGATTTTCTGGAAAAAAAATTCTCAATTTGTCTGTCATAGTTGACGTGTACCTATGATGAAAATTACAGGCCTCTCTCATCTTTTAAATGGGAGAACTTGCACAATTGGTGGCTGACTAAATCCTTTTTTTCCCCACTGTATATGCAAAAGAGGCACATATGATTTTCTTAATTTTATCACAAAGTTAAAAAAAAATAACCTGATATACTAAGAAAATGTATATATTAGAAGAAGAAAAAAGGTAACAATTTATAATGAATTTAATTCCTGAATTCCGAAATACCGAAATACCGAAATGCCTGAACTCCATTCATTACTTGTCCGTGCCAGTGCAATGTTTTATGTTCTATAATTCCGTCAATATAAGATGGATTTTAAAAATGCAAAAAGTTCAGAGTAACTTCATCCATTATCCAACAGTAGCATTCATCAGAATTGTATTTTAAACCTTTTAACAATTTTGATGACCATTGCTGAAGTAACAAACAGCTGTTATTTACTGATTAAGTTGTAGTTAGCTCTTGCCACAGTGGGGTCCGTACCTGTTCCCTCTCCTTGAGTTCAGTGAGCATGACGATAGAGTGACACCTGTACTCCCACACCATCCTCCAGAAGTCCTCCACCGTGTGGGACAGGGGACCCTGGGTAGCGATGAAGTAGTTCTTCTGTCTGTAGCCCTGGAAAATAACACACATACTGTTCAGGGCATCATATACGTAAAGACATAAACAGCTCTGGAGAAAGTTAAATGTGCTTACTAAATACTTACATCAATAAATGATGCATTGATGTAGTCCGTGAACTCTTGGCCCCTTTTCATTGATAATATAACCCGGTTGAAGTCATCTGTGGTAAAGCAAAAACCATAACAACTTCATTTATTTCCATCAATAGTTCAACTACTTGTGTCGTTTGTGTCATTTACCTACAGTATATTAATTCCAAAAGTAATACTACTTCATAGGGGTAACTTGGCAAAGTTCTTAGGCCTAAAATGAATTTATATCAAGCATCAATACAGCACTAAGAGTTTGATGGTGGTAGGGTTGTGATGTATTATGGAACAGTTAAGAGTGTCAGAGTACTCCTTACATGGAATGATCTGAAGCACACGGTTCTTCTTCATGTTGGCAGGAAGATTTCCAGTCCTCATGTTCTCCTTCATTATGCGTACATTGGTCAGTTTCTGAGAAGAGAAAATGGGGTGAAATTAGGACTACTTAAGAGAGATGGCTACCCTCATTTGAATGTGACTATAAATGTGAGACAATTTAGGAAAGGATATATACAGTAAGTGTGTGACTGGCCCTTACCCTGAACTCTTCTTCTAGGTCCAGCCTGTCGAGGGGTGCTCTGGTATTGTGGAGCTTCTGCAGGTGGCCTTCCAGAGAGGACACATCCAGCTCTGTGTCACCATACAGATAATACTCCAACAGAGCCTGGTAGATGAATGAGTACTGCATCTGAAATACAGACAGAGCAAGAGATTGGGTGAAAGAGGAATCTTTGCTTGTTTGTGCAGCAGGAACACATTTAAATGTCAGGAAACATTTACATCGGTCTGGACGAGTTGAGAGCGCTGCTCCCGTATTCTGGTCACAAACCCAAAGACATCCAGCCTCTGCTCTACATGCATCATGTCAATCATGGCGTCTATGACGATAAACGTCCCAGTCCTTCCTACCCCAGCACTGGGGAAAGACAAAAGACAGAAGAGAACAGTGACCCTTACATTGTCATAGAACTCTGAGGCAAGTTAGATGATTCAATTGAAAGCAAATGCACTGTATTTATGTGGCCCAGTTTGCCACAGGAATCTTGATTGTGGCATGGCCTAAAATGTGTTAAATTGCAACATGTCCACAAGCAATATTCTAAAAGGCTACATGTCCACAAGCCAACAACATCCACCATGCTTGAAGGGCCAGTCACACAGACAGCAGTCTGGGATACCAGCTTAGGGTGTTGGAAAGCAATCAATGAGGCCCATTCAGGATGCAAAGCCCCAGTGCCAACACCTGCTTCAACAGTTGATCCTGCAAGTGTCTGACTTCAGTGGTGTGGTCAGAGGCGTCATGCCCATAGGGGGCACAGGGGCACGTGCCCCCTCAGGTTTGATCTGTTCATTAAAATTAAAATAAAATAAAATTATATATATATATATATATATATATATATATATATATATATATATATATATACAGTACCAGTCAAAAGTTTGGACACACCTACTCATTCAAAGGTTTTTCTTTATTTTTACTATTTTCTACATTGCAGAATAATAACGAAGACATCAAAACTATGAAATAACACATATGGAATCATGTAGTAACCTAAAAAATATATATTTTAGATTCTACAAAGTAGCCACCCTTTGCCTTGATGACAGCTTTGCACATTCTTGGCATTCTTTCAAACAGCTTCATGAGGTAGTCACCTGGAATGCTTTTCCAACAGTCTTGAAGGAGTTCCCACATATGCTGAGCACTTGTTGGCTGCTTTTCCTTACTCTGCGGTCCACCTCATCCCAAACTATCTCAATTGGGTTGAGGTTGGGTGATTGTGGAGGCCAGGTCATCTGATGCAGCACTCCATCACTCTCCTTCTTGGTCAAATAGCCCTTACACAGCCTGGAGGTGTGTTTTGGGTCATTGTCCTGTTTAAAAACAAATGATAGTCCCACTAAGCGCAAACCAGATGGGATGGTGTATCGCTGCAGAATGCTGTAGTAGCCATGCTGGTTAAATGTGCCTTGAATTCTAAATAAATCACAGACAGTGTCACCAGCAAAGCACCCACACACCTCCTCCTCCATGCTTCACGGTGGGAACCACACATGCAGAGATCATTCGTTCACCTACTCTGCTTCTCACAAAGACACGGCGGTTGGAACCAAACATTTCAAATTTGGACTCATCAGACCAAATGACAGATTTCCACCGGTCCAATGTCCATTGCTCGTGTTTCTTGGCCCAAGCAAGTCTCTTCTTCTTATTGGTGTCCTTTAGTAGTGGTTTATTTGCAGCAAATCGACCATGAAGGCCTGATTCATGCAGTCTCCTCTGAACAGTTGATGTTGAGATGTGTCTGTTACTTGAAGTCTGTGAAGCATTTATTTGGGCTGCAATCTGAGGTGCAGTTAACTCTAATGAACTTATCCTCTGCAGCAGAGGTAACGCTGGGTCTTCCTTTCCAGTGGCGGTCCTCATGAGAGCCAGTTTCATCATAGCGCTTGATGGTTTTTGCGACTGCACCTGAAGAAACGTTCAATGTTCTTGACACGTTCCAGATTGACTGACCTTCATGTCTTAAAGTAATGATGGAATGTAATTTCTCTTTACTTATTTGAGCTGTTCTTGCCATAATATGGACTGGGTCTTTTACCAAATAGGTCTATCTTCTGTATACCACTCCTACCTTGTCATAACACAACTGATTGGCTCAAACGCATTAAGAAGGAAAGAAATTCCACAAATTAACTTTTAACAAGGCACACCTGTTAATTGAAATGCATTCCAGGTGACTGCCTCATGAAGCTGGTTGAGAGAATGCCAAGAGTGTGCAAAGCTGTCATCAAGGCAAAGGGTGGCTACTTTGAAGAATCTCAAATATAAAATATATTTTGATTTGTTTAACACTTTTTTGGTTACTACATGATTCCATATGTGTTATTTCATAGTTTTGATGTCTTCACTATTATTCTACAATGTAGAAAATAGTAAAACAATTAAGAAAAACTCTTGTTTTCCTTTAGGAAACTAGGTGTATGTCACACGTCACTACTTCACAGGAGAGGCATTTGAACTTATTTTTGTTGTTGCAGAAATGCCTTCTTGAACATGTGAACTTTCATGTGCCTTAATAACAAACTTGTATGCCATCTGTAAATACAAATATAACTGTTAAATAATGAGCGTAGTTGGTTTAGCCACGGAAAAATACAGGAACCTTCCCGCTATCCATGATTGGCTGAGATAATGGATGGGCTGGACATGCCGAGAGATGAGTTTGGATTGGTCTGCCATGTAGCATGCTTTTGTCTATAACATGAGCTGCTCAGTATGTGTGGATAATACTGTCTACCTCTGCTTTTTTTTAAAGATATCATGAAGAACTGAAAAAGTTTTGCTACTGCTCTCAACATTGCTGCCCTGAAGTTAATAGCGCTATAGACAAAGCTCATTGGGAAAACATTGTGATGGACTACTTTCTCGTGCCATGCTGACACTCTCTGACTAAGTCAGACAATGAGGAAATCCCTGATTTAGGTAAAAACATTTTCATTGAACCAGACATTGTAGTCTTCTGATGACAATGGTGGGGAAGAAACGGTGACATTGTCACGGAAGAAGTTGACCGAGTTTTGAAATCAGTGGAATTCCCGGTGGAAGCAGAGAAATGATTGCCAAATGCGGAGAGCGTGCAAAAAGAGAACACAGGTAGAAGGCTGTTGTATAAAACACCTGTCTCCGGATTACATCTTCAAACTAAGGGCAACCATGGCATCCATGACAGAGGGAGAAGTGTTCATCCATGTATACGGGTAAGAGTCTAGCTACATTTTCAGATATTATACGTTTTTAATTTTGTCAGAAAGTCGTTTTCATTGCAAGTTGAAGCGTACTGTTAGCTAGCTAGCTAATGTTAGCTGGCTGCCTCGCTAGCTAATGTTATGTGTATGATCTATGTAGGAGCTATAGAAAGAGGCCCGAATTCCCGAGTTGGAATTCCGAGTTAGATGACCGTTAAAATAGTTTTTTCCCAGTCATAGTTTTTTTGTTGTTGGAGTTCCCAGTTGTTTTGAATGCGGCATTAGAGTTGGGATTATGGTTGTTTAGCTAGCTAGCTACGTCTAAACAAAAGACTCCACTATGCAAGTAACCATTTCACTGTACTGTTTACACATCCTGTGCATGTGACAAATAAACGTAGATTTTATTTGATATAGTGTGTGTTTACCAGAAACGGTAATGTGAAGAACAACATGACCTGCACCAAAGTCAGATTAGGATATAGGCAAAGGACTAAATAAAGTGTATTTTTACTACTACTTTTTGCTACTACTTTCACCACTTTTAGTCTTGAAAGCTTTGTTTGTTTACTACACTGTGAATCCTTAAAGAGATGGGTGGGGCTAAGGCTTAAGAGGGTGTGAACGATGCTGAATGGGTGTAGACAAAGAAGAGCTCTCCAATACATTCACGGGCCATTTTCTCAAAAGTGGGGTTAGAAGTTTATCAACATAATTACTTTCTCAATGTTCCTCAACTGCAGTAATAATAATAATAATAATATGCCATTTAGCAGACGCTTTTATCCAAAGCGACTTACAGTCATGCGTGCATACATTTTTACGTATGGGTGGTCCCGGGGATCGAACCCACTACCTTGGCGTTACAAGCGCCGTGCTCTACCAGCTGAGCTACAGAGGACCAGTGTATGATATACTATTTTCTTGCTCTGAGTCTGTACTTTTTTCCAATGTAAAAAACACAATTTTAAATGTTGCTACATAGGACCGAATCCAGGTTGTAGGTCACAAATATGGCAAAAGTATGTGGACACCTGCTTGTCGAACATCTCATTCCAAAATCATGGGCATTAATATGGAGTTGGTCCCCCCTTTGCTGCTATACCAGCCTCCACTCGTCTGGCAAGGCTTTCCACTAGATGTCAGAACATTGCTGCGAGGACTTGCTTCCTTTCAGCCACAAGAGCATTAGTGAGGTCGGGCACTGATTTTGGGAGATTAGGCCTGGCTCGCAGTTGGCGTTCCAATTCATCCCAAAGGTGTTCGATGGGGTTGAGGTCAGGGCTCTGTGCAGGCCAGTCAAGTCGACAAACCATTTCTGTATGGACCTCGCTTTGTGCACGGGGGCATTGTCATGCAGAAACAGGAAAAGGCCTTCCCCAAACTGTTGCCACAAAGTTGGAAGCACAGAATCGTATAGAATGTAATTGTATGCTGCAGCATTAAGATTTCACTTCAATGGAACTAAGGGGCCTAGCCTGAACCATGAAAAACAGCCCCAGAACATTATTCCTCCTCCACCAAACTTTACAGTTGGCACTATGCATTTGGGCAGGCAGAGTTCTTCTGGCATCCGCCAAACCCAGATTTGTCCGTCAGACTCCCCAGATGGTGAAGCATGATTCATCAATCCAGAGAACGCATTTCCACTGGTCCAGAGTCCAATGGCGGCAAGTTTTACAACACTCCAGCCGACGCTTGGCATTGCGAATGGTGATCTTAGGCTTGTGTGCGGATGCTCGGCCATGGACAAACAGTTATTGTGCTGACGTTGCTTCCAGAGGCAGTTTGGAACTTGGTAGTGAGTGTTGCAATCGAGGACAGATGGTTTTTACGCGCTACGCGCTTCAGCACTCATCGGTCTTGTTCTGTGAGCTTGTGTGGCCTAACACTCCGAGGCTGAGCCATTGTTGCGCCTAGACATTTCCACTTCACAATAACAGCACTTACAGTTGACTGTGGCAGCTCTAGCATGGCAGAAATTTGACGAACTGACTTGTTGGAAAGGTGGCATCCTATGACGGTGCCACGTTGAAAGTCACTGAGCTCTTCAGTATGGACCATTCTACTTCCAACGTTTCTCTATGGAGATTGCATGGCGGTGTGCTCGATTTTATACACCTGTCAGCAACAAGTGTGGCATACTTTTGGTCATGTAGCATATATACACTACCGGTCAAAAGTTTTAGAACACCTACTCATTCAAGGTTTCTTCTACATTGTAGAATAATAGTGAAGATCAAAGATATGACATAACACATATGGAATCATGTAGTAACAAAAAACCTGTTAAACAAATCAAAATATATTTTAGATTCTTCAAATAGCCACCCTTTGCCTTGATGACAGCTTTGCACACGCTTGGCATTCTCTCAACAAGCTTCATGAGGTAGTCACCTGGAATGTATTTCAATTAACAGGTGTGCCTTCATAAAAAGTTAATTTGTGGAATGTCTTTCCTTCTTAATGCGTTTGAGCCAATCAGTTATGTTATGACAAGGTAGGGGGGGTATACAGAAGATAGCCCTATTTGGTAAAAGACCAAGTCCACATTATGGAAAGAACAGCTCAAATAAGCAAAGAGAAACGACAGTCCATCATTACTTTAAGACATGAAGGTCAGTCAATACGAAACATTTCAATAACTTTCAAGTTTCTTCAAGTGCAGTCACAAAAACCATCAAGCGCTATGATGAAACTGGCTCTCATGAGGACCACCACAGGAATGGAATACCCAGATATACCCAGATATACCTCTGCTGCAGAGGATTAGAGTTACCAGCCTCAGAAATTGCAGCCCAAATAAATGTTTCACAGAGTTCAACTAACAGACACATCTCAACATCAACTGTTCAGAGAAGACTGTGTGAATCAGGCCTTCATGGTCAAATTGCTGCAAAGAAACCACTACTAAAGGACACCAATAAGAAGAAGAGACTTGCTTCGGCCAAGAAACACGAGCAATGGACATTGGACCGGTGGAAATCTGTCCTTTGGTCTGATGAGTCCAAATGTGAGATTTTTGGTTCCAACCGCCGTGTCTTTGTGAGACGCAGAGTAGGTGAACGAATGATCTCTGCATGTGTGGGTCCCAACGTAAAGCATGGAGGAGGAAGTGTTATGGTGTGGGGGTGCTTTGCTGGTGACACTGTCTGTGATTTATTTAGAATTCAAGGCACACTTAACCAGCATGGCTACCACAGTATTCTGCAGTGATACGCCATCCCATCTGGTTTGCGCTTAGTGGGACTATCAGGCTTTGTAAGGGCTATTTGACCAAGAAGGAGAGTGATGGAGTGCTGCATCAGATGACCTGGCCTCCACAATCCCCCGACCTCAACCAAATTGAGATGGTTTGGGATGAGTCGGAACGCAGAGTGAAGGAAAAGCAGCCAACAAGTTCTCAGCATATGTGGGAACTCCTTCAAGACTGTTGGAAAAGCATTCCAGGTGAAGCTGCTTGAGAGAATGCCAAGAGTGTGCAAAGCTGTCATCAAGGCAAAGGGTGGCTATTTGAAGAATCTCAAATAAAAAAATATATTTAGATTTGTTTAACACTTTTTTTGGTTAGTACATGATTCCAAATGTGTTATTTCATAGTTTTGATGTCTTCACTACTATTCTACAATGTAGAAAATAGTAAAAAGTAAGAAAAACCCTTGAATGAGTAGGTGTTTTAAAACCTTTGACCTGTAGTGTGTTTTTATATATATATATATATATATATATATATATATATATATATATATATATATATATATATATATATATATATATATATTACTAGCCACCCAGCAATTTTATGAAGTTGGCTTTATCTAGCCCAGATAGGTTCCCAATTTCCCAACCTCATAACTAGCTACCAAGAAGCCATTTCAGGCTATCAATCAAGTTAGAGTAGCTAGCTTGTCTAACTGTCTTAGCTGGCATGCCTGCTGGCAAGGTTGGTAGACTTTAGAAAAGCAAGCAAAAACTAAATGTACTGAATAAGACTCACATTCCTTTCAATCTTTTACCCAGATTTTAGCAAAGATGCAGAGAAGCATATATATTTTCTTTAAAAAAAGAACCACCTGTCAGGAGGATACAGACAGCTCAAGCGGTATGCTTAGATATGCTGAAAAATATACATAGAATCAAGCATAATTATTATGCTAGTGTTTGAATAATGCAAAATTCTCCAACTGACCTCCCCCCTACCATCCTCACGTACTTTGTGCCCCCTTAGATTGTTCATGATGCCCCTGGGTGAGGTAGTTTTATATGACATGACACAGGCATTGAAATTCCAGCCATACCAATACAAAATAAAGGGACAATGATTGGCATACTTTTTTAGTAAACTATTTTACACTACAATTTTGTTATCTTATACATACCATGAAGTGTATATTAACCACTATAGCCTACATTTAGCACAGCCTGTAGATAGGAATTTCCAGATACAATTCCCAGTCTCCTCCCCTGGTTCAGTACCTGCAGTGCACCACGATGGGTCCTGCGTAGGACGGGTTGACCGTCTTCACCTTCTTGAGGAACTTGAGCATGCCGATGGGGGAGAAGGGCACCCCAAAGTCTGGCCAGCTGGTGAAGTGGAGCTGGGTGACCAGGCGGGGGGCCCTGGGGCCATCACTCCCCTGCTGTTTACAACAGGAAAACACATAAATCATTTAGATAATAAACTTTAAATACCATGTCACAGTCTCTCACAGCATCATGTTTTCTATGTGAGGGTTCATGCGCAGGGTTGTCATGTAGGCGTGTACAATGATACTTACATATTGTACACAGAACTTGCGGATGGTGTAGTCCACCAGTACAGTAAAGTCCTCTACTGCCACCCTCACGTTCCCATACATCCAACAGCCCTGGTCTGGCCAGTACTGGTAACACTTGTCCTGAAGAGAGGCGAAATGGACATTCAGCAAAGCAAAACTTACAAAATATACACTATTTGAATAGTTTCACCAATGTGAATGGCAGAGACTTAAATGAGGATTAATTGGTAGAGCATGGCGCTTGTAACGCCAGGGTAGTGGGTTCAATCCCCGGGACCACCCATACGTAAAAATGTATGCACACATGACTGTAAGTCGCTTTGGATAAAAGCGTCTGCTAAATGGCATAGTATTATATTATATTATTATATTACTGACCACAAACTCTATATTTGATATAGTTGACAGAGGTGATAGTCTGTCAGTCAATAAGTTCATCACTCTGATGTTCTAGACCATTAATGAGACTCTCAGACTAATTATAATCAAACCTTGGGTGCAGCTAAACCCATAGTTGTTTCACGCCTGAGAGTGCCTGTAATTACGCCAGCTGGCTGCCTACAATAATTACATACAATAATTGCCTACCATTCAGCTGTTTTCTAACCTCATTGTCTGAACCGTTAACGTTAGGTAGCAAGTGGCTACTGTGCTTGAAATTTAGCTAGCTTGTTGCTACCTGGATAGCTACTAGTAAACAATAGCTGGAACGACCGAGTGAACAGACGCGAACTGGCTGAGTCAATTCAGTGGCTAGCTTTGCACTTGGCTAGCTAACAGTAGCTGCTAGGGGTAAGTCATAACCTACACTTGTGTTTTGTTTTTTACATATTGATAGCCCGAGTCGTTCAAGGAATTCGGGACATGGGTGACTAGTTAACGTTAGTTTGGCTCTCTCTGTGTGTTCGTGCCATGAAAGGAGGGGTTCTTCTTTGTCTGAAAGCAATGGCTAGCTAGTTTGCTAACTATTCTAGCTAACTAACTGGCTGAATAAGTTGACGACGGACTCGCTCAAGCTGTCGGGACTAACCCACAACGTTAGACACGGACACGAACGATCTGCTTGCGTGTTGATACACTGGTGGTTTGTTGTCGCCGAGTATTGGCGCTAAACCGTGTTGTTGGAGACCGGCATGCTAGCTGGCTGTGGCGTCTTATGACGAGGTGCCCGGACGTTTTTCACGGAATAATACTGCACCTAGTTAGCTAGCTGAATAAACTAAGTTAGTCTATTCCTAGAAAACATTGAACCGCTGTAGTTTACAACAATTATAGTTTCTGAGGTGGAAGTTGGGAGATTTATATTTGGGAGTTGTGGTGAGGGAGGCCCCGCTCTCTCCTTTCCCAGATGTTTAGTTCATTTCATTCCAATCTCCTCTGCATTATTGTAGCCATCTGCTGCAGCCTGTCAACTATGCCTCTGCCTATCCCTGTTCTCTCCTCTCCGCACAGGCTACACAAACGCCTCACACCGCGTGGCTGCTGCCTCTCTAACCTGGTGGTCCCTGCACGCACGACCCACGTGGAGTTCCAGGTCTCAGGCAGCCTCTGGAACTGCCGTTCTGCTGCCAACAAGGCAGAGTTCATCTCAGCCTATGCTACCCTCCAGTCCCTCGACTTCTTGCCGCTGACGGAAACATGGATTACCACTGAAAACACTGCTACTCCTGCTGCTCTCTCCTCGTCTGACCATGTGTTCTCGCATACCCCGAGAGCATCTGGTCAGCGGGGTGGTGGCACAGGAATCCTCATCTCTCCCAAGTGGACATTCTCAATTTTTCCCCTGACCCATCTGTCTATCTCCTCATTTGAATTCCATGCTGTCACAGTCACTAGCCCATTTAAGCTTAATATCCTTGTCATCTATCGCCCTCCAGATTCCCTTGGAGAGTTCATCAATGAGCTTGACGCCTTGATAAGTTCCTTTCCTGAGGATGGCTCACCCCTCACAGTTCTGGGGGATTTCAACCTCCCTACGTCTACATTTGACTCATTTCTCTCTGCCTCCTTCTTTCCACTCCTCTCCTCTTTTGACCTCACCCTCTCACCGTCTTCCCCTACTCACAAGGCAGGCAATACGCTTGACCTCATCTTTACTAGATGCTGTTGTTCTACTAATCTCACTGCAACTCCCCTCCAAGTCTCCGACCACTACTTTGTATCCTTTTCTCTCTCCCTCTCCTCCAACACTACTCACTCTGCCCCTACACAGATGGTAATGCGCCGTCGCAACCTTCGCTCTCTCTCTCCCGCTACTCTCTCCTCTTCCATCCTATCATCTCTTCCCTCTGCTCAATCCTTCTCCCTCCAATCTCCTGATTCTGCCTCCTCAACCCTCCTCTCCTCCCTTTCTGCATCCTTTGACTCTCTATGTCCCCTATCCTCCCGGCCGGCTCGGTACTCCCCTCCAGCTCCGTGGCTTGATGACTCATTGCGAGCTCACAGAACAGAGCTCCGGACAGCTGAGCGGAAATGGAAGAAAACTAGACTCCCTGCGGACCTGGCATCTTTTCACTCCCTCCTCTCTACATTTTCTTCATCTGTTTCTGCTGCTAAGGCCACTTTCTACCACTCTAAATTCCAAGCATCTACCTCTAACCCTAGGAAGCTCTTTGCCACATTCTCCTCCCTGCTGAATCCTCCCCCTCCCCCCGTCCCCCCTCCTCCCTCTCTGTGGATGACTTCGTCAACCATTTTGAAAAGAAGGTTGACGACATCCGATCCTCGTTTGTTAAGTCAAATGACACTGCTGGTCCTGCTCACACTGCCCTACCCTATGCTTTGACTTCTTTCTCCCCTCTCTCTCCAGATAAAATCTTGCAACTTGTGACGGCAGGCCGCCCAACAACCTGCCCGCTTGACCCTATCCCCTCCTCTCTTCTCCAGACCATCTCCGGTGACCTTCTCCCTTACCTCACCTCGCTGATCAACTCATCCTTGACCGCTGGCTATGTCCCTTCCGTCTTCAAGAGAGCGAGAGTTGCACCCCTTCTCAAAAAACCAACACTCGATCCCTCTGATATCAACAACTACAGACCAGTATCCCTTCTTTCTTTTCTCTCCAAAACTATTGAGCGTGCCGTCTTTAGCCAACTCTCTTGCTATCTCTCTCAGAATGACCTTCTTGATCCAAACCAGTCAGGTTTCAAGACTGGTCATTCAACTGAGACTGCTCTTCTCTGTGTCACGGAGGCTCTCCGCACTGCTAAAGCTAACTCTCTCCCCTCTGCTCTTGTCCTTCTAGACCTGTCTGCTGCCTTTGATACTGTGAACCATCAGATCCTCCTCTCCACCCTCTCCGAGCTGGGCATCTCCGGCGCGGCTCACTCTTGGATTGCGTCCTACCTGACCGGTCGCTCCTACCAAGTGGCGTGGCGAGAAGCTGTCTCCGCACTACGTGCTCTCACCACTGGTGTCCCCCAGGGCTCAGTTCTAGGCCCTCTCCTATTCTCGCTATACACCAAGTCACTTGGCTCTGTCATATCCTCACATGGCCTCTCCTATCATTGCTACGCTGACGACACACAACTAATCTTCTCCTTTCCCCCTTCTGATAACCAGGTGGCGAATCGCATCTCTGCATGTCTGGCAGACATATCAGTATGGATGACGGATCACCACCTCAAGCTGAACCTTGGCAAGACGGAGCTGCTCTTCCTCCCGGGGAAGGACTGCCTGTTCCATGATCTCGCCATCACGGTTGACAACTCCGTTGTGTCCTCCTCCCAGAGTGCGAAGAGCCTTGGCGTGACCCTGGACAACACCCTGTCATTCTCCGCTAACATCAAGGCGGTGACCTGATCCTGTAGGTTCATGCTCTACAACATTCGGAGAGTACGACCCTGCCTTACACAGGAAGTGGCACAGGTCCTAATCCAGGCACTTGTCATCTCCCGTCTGGATTACTGCAACTTGCTGTTGGCTGGGCTCCCTGCCCGTGCCATTAAACCCCTACAACTCATCCAGAATGCCGCAGCCCGTCTGGTGTTCAACCTTCCCAAGTTCTCTCACGTCACCCCGCTCCTCCGCACACTCCACTGGCTTCCAGTTGAAGCTCGCATCTGCTACAAGACCATGGTGCTTGCCTACGGAGCTGTGAGGGGAACGGCACCTCCGTACCTTCAGGCTCTGATCAGTCCCTACACCCAAACGAGGGCACTGCGTTCATCCACCTCTGGCCTGCTGGCTCCCCTACCTCTGCGGAAGCATAGTTCCCGCTGAGCCCAGTCAAAACTGTTCGCTGCTCTGGCACCCCAATGGTGGAACAAGCTCCCCCATGACGCCAGGACAGCGGAGTCACTCACCAACTTCCGGAGACATTTGAAACCCCACCTCTTTAAGGAATAACTGGGATAGGATAAAGTAATCCTTCTACCCCCCCCCCCCTCCCTTACTCCAACCCCCCCCCCCCAAAAAAAAATAAAAAATAATAATATGTAAAGTGGTTATCCCACTGGCTATAAGGTGAATGCACCTATTTGTAAGTCACTCTGGATAAGAGCGTCTGCTAAATTATGTAAATGTAAATGTAAATGTTTTGTTCTTTATTGATCAGCCCCTTGAGGTTCAATGGAATGTGATGCCAAGTCATTTTGTGTGACACATTGTATGGATTGGGAATGTTAGGAAAGGGTCAAATAAATTATACCCATGATCCTTGAGGTGTGAGAAGACAAGGGGCCTAGCAAAGGCTCTTTAGAACATCTATGGATGTCGAACTGTCAAATAATTCCACATGAGATCCCATTAGCAACTCTGAATACATTCTTTACTGGTTGTCTAAGCAGATAAGGGAGCAGCCAAAGTGAGAGAAGAGAAACTCACCTCTTTTCTCTCTTTCAAGTTAGTGAGCATCACTATAGTAGCAGTCTTCTGTTCCCAAACCATCCGCCAAAAGTCTGCCACAGTGTCGTGCATTGGGCCTATGGAAAAGAGAGTGACACGCTTACCACAGACGTAAGAAGACATACTATAGATATACAGTAGGCCTATGGTGCTAGAAAAAAGCATATGCTTACGTAAAGGAGTTCATTTAAAATAATGAATCCTCTAGTAGTACAGTATTTTGCACAATAATGTTGCACATAGCTTTATTTACCTTGAGCTGCAATGAATTTGTTCCTCTCTTTATAACCCTGGTGAAAAAGAAAATGTGTTTTGGCAAGTTACAGTATTTATTAGACCGTAATGAGAAAGGAAGTAACACTGGATGCATTGAAATTATTCATAATAGGATGGAACGAAATACATAGTAAATATCAACAACTCACATCTATGTATGAGGCATTTATGTAGTCCGTACAAGAATAACCATCGATTTGAGTTAACAACACTCTGGAATGGTCATCTGTTGAAAATGTAAGAAAGAGACAAAATTGTACTAGGAAAATAGGTAGCCTATTTAGAATTATTTCATAACATTTTATTAAATTGTTTTATCTCTCTTAAGTGGGTTTAATGGTTGCAAAACGTATTCCCATAAAAATTCCATCACTCACATGGTAGGATGTTGGGATATCTATTCTTGTCCCTGTTGATCACCCTGCTAGCCTCCTCAAAGGAGCTGTGCTGGTAGCCACAGGGTAGTGACTACACAGACACAACACAAACACAGGGGGTCAAACTATGAAGCCATTAATGAAGCCCTCATACATGCAGCATAATATGTAACAACATAAAGAACTATAAACTCTACATGACATTATTAGCATTAACAAATGAAGGTATCACACTACTGTGACCACTATGTGTTCTATGAAAAGGAACCTACATTGAACTCCTCTCTGAAAAGCTTGCAGTCGTCTGCCGAGCAAATCCGGAACTGGTCTTCTAGCGAGTCCAGGGGGATGAGAAAGTGACGCTTGGATGGAGATGGGGATCGTGGGAGGAGGACCACTGTCTGCTCTCCTGTGTAAAAAATTAATAAAAAAATATGAAATGTCAATGTCAATGTATATACATTCAGTACAATAATTGTAAAATAACTGTGAAATAATAATTCTGCCTTTTTGTTTTTTAAAGGGGAATAACTAGATCACCTTATCACATGTGATGAAGTGAACATAAGGAGGGTGACATCAAACAGGTGATTCATAAAAACAACTGACTGGGTCTTCAACTCTCACTCACACTTGCTAAACATTGTACTTTACATGTGAAAGTTACATTACAACTTACAATAACACACCTCACCATTGCAGGACAGAACAACCCTCTCTCCCTTTCAGTTTCCAATCTGGGTGTAAAGCTTGATTCCTCCCAGACCTTTGACAGCCACATCAAACACCTGTGTAAAGCGTCATTCTTTCACCTCAAGAACACTGCCAACTCTGTCCCACCCTTTTCTGATGCAGAAACGTTTTTTTTAAATCTCCTCAAGGCTGGTTTACTGCAACGCAGTTTTCATCGGGATCTCTGGCAGGAGTCTCCAGAAGCTCCAATACATCCAGAACAGAGCTGCCAGCATCCTGATGAGAGTGCGGAAACGTATTGAATTCAAAACCCTCCTGCTGACTTTCCAGTGTATTCATGGCAATGCCCCTCCTTATCTCAAATAACTGCTTTCCCTCCATAACCCCTCCCGCACCCTCAGCTAGACCACCCCAGCCTTTGGAATGCCCTCCCGGACCACCTGAAGGCACCACAGACTCTGGGCTACATTAAAATGGGCCTAAAGACCTTTCTCTTTCTGTTGACAGCTGTGCTCCTTAGTGTACTTGTCCCTTGTAGCTTCAGTTGTGTTCTTTGTGTCAGTTGCCCTGTTTAGTTGTGTTAATTTTTTTCTATTTGGTTTACATTTTACATGTTATGCACTTTGAGATTATTCTGTATAATGAAAAGTGCTTTACAAATGTAATGAATTATGATTATTAATTACAAGGTTAGAAAGTTACAATGCATTTTGCTTCAACTGTGTGTGGTAAGGTAGACTGTGAATATTTTCCTCATTTTCTACCATTTTAGACGTGTTAGTTCATCTTGACAGATCTCAGTAGCAGCATAGGGCTTCAGTATGATATTGCTACAGAACAGACCTGACTTTGTGTTTTGATTGTGACGACTTATCTAGAGTACAGATCAGTAGTGAAATTCAAGAAGAACTATGTACACACACAACCTAAGGCTTGCATCACATCCCACAACACACAATCAATGGTGAAATTAAATATTGTATACATAAGTAGGGCTGTGGCAGTCATGAAATTTTGTCAGCCGGTTATTGTCATGCAAAAGTCTGCCAGTCTCATTATTTTTTTATTATATGATTTTATAACAAGAAGAATATAATTGAACTTAGTTGAAGCGTTGGCGTTGGGTGGTTGGTAGCTACTGTGCTCGAAATGTAGCTAGCTTGTTGCTAGCTGGATAGCTACTAAACAAAAGCTGGAACGACCTAGCGAACAGACGCAAACTGGCTGAGTCGATTCAGTAGCTAGCTTTGCACTTGGCTGGCTAACAGTAGCTGCTAGGGGTAAGTTATAACCTACATTTGTGTTTTGTTTTTACATACTGGTAACCAGAGTCGTTCAAGGGAATTTGGGACATGGGTGACTAGCTAACGTTAGCTTGGCTCTCTCTGTGTGTTCGTGCCGTGGGAGGAGGGGTTTTTTCGTTGGCAGAAAGCAATGGCTAGCTAGTATGCTAACTATTCTAGCTAACTAACTGGCTGAATAAGTTGATGACGGACTCGCTCAAGCTGTCGGGACTAACCCACAACGTTAGACACGGACACAAATTATCTGCTTGGCTTGTTGACACACTGGTGGTTTGTTGTGGCCGAGTATTGGTGCTAAACCGTGTTGTTGGAGGCTGGCATGCTAGTTGGCTGTGGTGTCATAGGATTTGGTGCCCTGGACGGTTTTCACGGAAGAATACTGTACCAAGTTAGCTAGCTGAATAAACTAAGTTAGTCTATTCCTAGAAAACATTGAACCTCTGTAGTTTACAACAATTATAGTTTCTGAGGTGGAAGTTGGGAGAGATATATTTGGGTGTTTCAGTGAAACGTAAGTGAGGGAGGCACCGCTCTCTCGCTTTCCCAGATGTTTAGTTCATTTCATTCCGATCTCCTTTGCATTATTGTAGCCATTTTCTGTAGCCTGTCAACTATGCCTCTGTCTATCCCTGTTCGCTCCTCTCCGCACAGGATATACAAACGCCTCACACCGCGTGGCTGCTGCTACTCTAACCTGGTGGTCCCTGCGCGCACGACCCACGTGGAGTTCCAGGTCACCGGCAGCCTCTGGAACTGCCGTTCTACGGCCAACAAGGCAGAGTTCATCTCAGCCTATGCTACCCTCCAGTCCCTCGACTTCTTGGCGCTGACGGAAACATGGATTACCACTGAAAACACTGCTACTCCTACTGCTCTCTCCTCGTCTGACCATGTGTTCTCGCATACCCCGAGAGCATTTGGTCAGCGGGGTGGTGGCACAGGAATCCTCATCTCTCCCAAGTGGACATTCTCTCTTTTCCTACTGACCGATCTGTCTATCTCCTCATTTGAATTCCATGCTGTCACAGTCACTAGCCCATTCAAGCTAAACATCCTTGTCATTTATCGCCCTCCAGGTTCCCTTGGAGAGTTCATCAATGAGCTTGACGCCTTGATAAATTCCTTTCCTGAGGATGGCTCACCCCTCACAGTTCTGGGTTACTTTAACCTCCCTACATCTACCTTTGACGCATTTCTCTCTGCCTCCTTCTTTCCACTCCTCTCCTCTTTTGACCTCACCCTCTCACCGTCCCCCCCTACTCACAAGGCAGGCAATACGCTTGACCTCATCTTTACTAGATGCTGTTTTTCTACTAATCTCACTGCAACTCCCCTCCATGTCTCCGACCACTACTTTGTATCCTTTTCTCTCTCGCTCTCCTCCAACACTACTCACTCTGCCCCTACTCAGATGGTAATGCGCCGTCGCAACCTTCACTCTCTCTCTCCCGCTACTGTGAATGATACAAACCTTAGAATGCCTTAGAAATCAAAATATATATGGGCTGCATGATGCGACTATGGGCTATTAATGATTTGAGAAAGTCGCAAAATGTCGCTCTGTTTCTTGCCTCAGTCTGCACATGCTGTTCTCTCTTCAAGTGATAATTTTTCACACATCAGACTATTCTCAATGTAATCTTGTCTTTACTAATATGTCAAATTTGTTTCGATTTAGAATGGCCCATTATGAAATGGGCAGGAACAGGGGCAAGACAAAAAATATTTGTCATTTCCCGCCTGAACGTTTTTCACTCATGTCAGGTAGGCTCCTCAGATTATTTTGCTACCCAACAGGTGATATTCTGCCCAAACTCTGTATGCCATGGGCTCTCCAACCCTGTTCCTGCAGCTACCCAGTGCTTAATTTGGGAAACCAATGAAATATGTTCAGGAACATCGATAGTAACATGTTTTCACAACGAAACATATTTAATTAAACTGTTGACAGGCCCTCTCTCTGCTTACTGGAGAAAGGAATGCATAGAGAGGGGAGGAGATGGAAACACACGTGGTGAGATATTCTGCAGCTAAAGGTAATGTCAGCCTATTAAATACAAAAATATATTTTAAAGAATTCACCATTACTAGGCTGTTCAAAATCAAATACAAATTCACTATAATTGTAGGGTAACACCACATTTGTTTAATTTAGGCTACACCAATTATGTACCAAAGATATCTTCAATCAGTATTTTTAAAATGTTTTTTCTGCCATGTGTAACATGCGGTATGCTATTTGTTGTATAACGGCTAAATCATTATTACAATTTTCCGGGTTGGGCTTAGATATACAGTCGTGGTCAAAAGTTTTGAGAATGACACAAATATTAATTTTCACAAAGTCTGCTGCCTCAGTTTTTATGATGGCAATTTGCATATTCTCCAGAATGTTATGAAGAGCGATCAGATGAATTGCAATTAATTGCAAAGTCCCTCTTTGCCATGAAAATGAACTTAATCCCCAAAAAACATTTCCACTGCATTTCAGCCCTGCCACAAAAGGACCAGCTGACATCATGTCAGTGAATATCTCGTTAACACAGGTGAGAGTGTTGATGAGGACAAGGCTGGAGATCACTCTGTCATGCTGATTGAGTTAGAATAACAGACTGGAAGCTTTAAAAGGAGGGTGATGCTTGAAATCATTGTTCTTCCTCTGTTAACCATGGTTACCTGCAAGGAAACAAGGTGCCGTAATCATTGCTTTGCACAAAAAGGGCTTCACAGGCAAGGATATTGCTGCTAGTAAGATTGCACCTAAATCAACCATTTATCGGATCATCAAGAACTTCAAGGAGAGAGGTTCAATTGTTGTGAAGAAGGCTACAGGGCGCCCAAGAAAGTCCAGCAAGCACGAGGACCGTCTCCTAAAGTTAATTCAGCTGTGGGATCGGGGCACCACCAGTGCAGAGCTTGCTCAGGAATGGCAGCAAGCAGGTGCGAGTGCATCTGCACGCACAGTGAGGCGAAGACTTTTGGAGGATGGCCTGGTGTCAAGAAGGTCAGCGAGGAAGCCACTTCTCTCCAGGAAAAACATCAGGGACAGACTGATATTCTGCAAAAGGTACAGGTATTGGACTGCTGAGGAATGGGGTAAAGTCATTTTCTCTGATGAATCCACTTTACGATTGTTTGGGGCATCCGGAAAAAAGCTTGTCTGGAGAAGAAAAGGTGAGCGCTACCATCAGTCCTGTGTCATGCCAACAGTAAAGCATCCTGAGACCATTCATGTGTGGGGTTGCTTCTCAGCCAAGGGAGTGGGCTCAATCACAATTTTTCCTAAGAACACAGCCATGAATAAAGAAAAGGTACCAACACATCCTCCGAGAGAAACTTCTCCCAACCATCCAAGAACAGTTTGGTAACGAACAATGCCTTTTCCAGCATGATGGAGCACCTTGCCATTA